TACCTTTACTGAGACAGTCCTTTAGACTACCAGCTTACATGATAGTTAACACCCACCCTGCACACGAGCCTGGGGAGCACTGGCTGGCGCTCACTCTTGAGGAAGGTCAGAAAGCTAGCTTTTTTGATTCTTTTGGATTCTCACCAGAGTTTTCACATTACCCCAAAAGTATCTTGGAATTTTTAAAAAACGCTGTGAAACCATTTCATATCATACACATCAGTTTCAGCATACACTGTCTACCACATGTGGTCAGCATTGTGTGTTCTATTTGTGTCATCGAGCCTGCGGTCTATCTTTTGAGAATGTGCTGTCTTTGTATCATGATGATTTTACAAGAAATGATTCTATGGTATCCAATTTTGTGAAAAAATATCAACGTTGTATGAGGCAACAAAGAGCCGCATCTTTTCACCACACAGTTTGTTCTTTACAAATGTTCAAAGACTGTTATAAGTTATAAATAAAGATGAATCTTGAGACAAATAACTTTAGCTTGAATTGTTTTTATTATGGGTTAAAATTAAGCCATCGTGGAGCAAGGGGGGTGAGTTTCTTTCTTTTTTCTCTTCTTGAGGGTGGCGAGGCGTCCACCTCTTCCCACTGGGGGGTTAAAGATGCTCGTCTGTGTTTTCTTCCCTTCTTAAATAGTAAGGGCTGTGTCTCATCATCCTCTCCATCCCTGCGAGGGGCACGGGGTGTCTGCTTTTTCCTTCTTCCCCTCTTTATCGGCAGGGACATCACCTCCTCCTCATCTTCCCGGGGTCCTACCGTTTGAAGTTGCCTATATTGCTCTCGAGCTTGAGGGTTGCTCATCATTGATAAAGGGATGTTGAGTTCTGACAAAGTATTCAAAAAACCTGTCCATCCCTTAGGAGGCTGGGATTTTTTAAGGGAGACGGTCAGACTTTTAAACAAGTCAAGCAGGTGTGAACCTTTCACAACATCTCCGTTATACACAAACTCTCCCCTGGGAGTCCACCCACCTCGGCTCTTGGTTAATTTCTTTATGATGTACTGTGCATTGTTACGATAGCGAGCCGGCAAGTTTTGTACAACCTCCCTTGCTGTTTCATCCAGTTTCTTGTCTTCTTCTTCTTCTTCTCCTCCTTCTACGCGCTGCTTCAGTGCCTCAGAATCTTTAGCTACTGTCAGAGTAATGTGGCGTTCTTCCTTCTCTCCTTGTTTGACCAGAGCTAGGTATCTTTGCAGCAGGGCATTGTATTTCTTAATTTTTTCATAAGCGTTCATACCATCCTCGTTTAGTATTGCCCTCATTTTTTCATCCAAATCATTTTCTACCGTATGTCTCATTATTTCAGCGTTGGATGCAGATGGTACAGAATGATTCAGCCGGTTTAGTTGCTGAGGCGTCACCAAAAACATTTTCTGACTCATGATTTATCTATTAATTAGCCCTCCCAAAATGACAGGAAGGATTGTTGAAAGAAGAGGTAACAGAAAGCCTCCAGACTGTTTTGTCAGAGCCTTATGTTTGGTTTTAAGACTTGTTTTTTTATTAGCCAGCAACCTTATAATTTTCTTTTGTTTTTTGAGTTTGTTATATTGAGCTGAGGTCATAGGAATGTTTCCTTTTAAAAGATTCAAAGAGAGTTCACACAAAGACTGAAGAAAGTCCGATGAGCAATTGTTGAGAATATCTTTACGCTTTTGAGGCGTGGCGTGACATAAAGCCCTCAGTAAAGGCGCATTCCTTTTTAAACGTGCTGACATGTTGGATCAGGACTTTGATTTGGGAAGATAGACAACGGGCCACTGGTGGGGTAGTACTCCTGATCTTAGTCTGTAAGTTTCTGGGCAACTAGGTGTGAGGTCCAAGATTAAATACCCGTGAGGATCTTTGGTAGCATCTTCAAAACTTTCTAAGAAAAAGGCTTTTCGTCCAGGAAATATTTGTTGAGCTAATATACTCATCTGTAATCTATCTCGAGGGTTTTTAAACAAAACCAAATAGTTACTATTTAAACTAATTGTCCTACTGTGCTTTCCACGGTGAAATACATTTTGAGTCAACATGATGACACTCATTTTTTTGTGGTGCCTGTACTGTGTGAAAATTTTCACAACTTCAGGGTGATCAGAGGCCTGGAAAATGACATCATCCAAAATTATAAGATGATCTTGATCAGGTGGGAATAGAATTTCATCGTCAAAAGAATCAGGCAATCCTTCAACAAATTTGATCTTTTTATTCTTCTGCTGCAGTTCAGTGTACATCGGTTGATAAGAAGTAAAAATCCAAACAATATTACTAGGCATGTTGTCGATGACATGATTACAGGATTCCAACACAGACTTTACAAAATAAGTTTTACCGGACCCGCTTGGCCCCACAATTTGACAGGAGAAAGGTGTTCTTAGTCTAGGGTCAAACTCAATTTCATTGGATGAAAACATTTTTTTTCTTCAATAGCCAAAAGGCAGGGTTTGACCTTGGCTCAGTAACCGTCTCTTGTCATACACCACTCTAAACTTTTTCTGGAATGATGAGTTTCTAAGGAAAAACCCCCTTTTATCTCGTACAATATTGTGCTGAGGTGTTTCAATTACACCCCCATCATCAGAGTTTAGCACATAATTCTCCACCAACTGTTTGACACTGTTAAAGTTAACTTGTTCACAACAATCATGCGTTTGAGTGATACCCTTTACACGAAGTACTACTTTGTTGTTACGAGTCTGGTACGCATAACTTTTAGGACCCGCGGCCGCGAATTCTTTTATGCTATCACCATCTAACTCATCAGTCAAATCTCCCATGTAATTACCCAGGTCAAGCCGTCTCTCCCCCTCTTTTGTGACATAGATAATACTGTCTGTATCATAATACAAGACCCTCTCCTGCAGCTGCTCCAAATAACTGTACAACTTTAGACGCCCATAAGCTGTGGTGAAAGCAGCTATAAAGACGTTGTCTACCTTGTTTGGAGGGGCAATACATTGCTCACCATAACTCCACTGCAACAATGCTGTTTTGTCGTTGACAAAGGAAAAGTATTTAACTTTATATTTTCCAGAAAACATAAAGTTAAAAAACTCTTCAGGGTCAGTGATTAGTTTAGTCTGTGTCTGATTCGAGCGTTGTGCAAATTTCCCCCAGAATGTGTTGAGACATAATTTGGAGACTTGTCTTTTTGCAGGATTCGGATGAATTTTAGACGCATCCAGCAAAACACCCTGATTGGTCTGATAGTCTTTGATGTACTTTTCTCGGGCTGCCTGATCTTTGGCTTCAGGGGGGTAACCTGAAGCTTCCTGTTTACCCTTCAGAAAAGTGTGCATGTACTGAACAAAAATCGAGTCGCTCTGTCTATCAAATTGCCATACCTCTGTGATCTCAGCTACCCGATACCCCATCTCCAAGGCCTTGTTAAATTCAGGAGTGACCCAGACCCCTGTCATCGCTCTGTCCTCATCACTGTGTTGACATGGACCCTCCTGAAAATTAAGTTCAGCGCACGTTCGGCAGAGTGTGAAGACAAGTTTACCAGCTGCAGTTCTATATGGCAAAACAGGAAAAAATAAACCCTGTGGTGGACAGATTTTGGCTCTGATTATTCCAAAGTAGCTTTGGGGTTCTTTGAAATCTTTGTAGATTATTTTTGGGTGCCCCAAAGGATAGGGAAAGTTACAGTTGACATAGGGATACAGCGATGTCACATCAAAGTAGTCTACCGTTTCATTAGCACCCGCAGTGTGTCTCAACTTTACTGCACAGGTTCGACCCCCATACAAAGCTTCGCGGGGTGAGAGAGGTTGAGGAGCTTTATACTGTTTGAGAAAATCTTTTAACCCCTGATGTGATTTTTTCATCTCGGTCCATGTGTGCTCTCTCATGACAATCACTTTAGCATTGTGGATGGCCTGTAACTCACGTAATTTCTCCTCGCTCCTCGCATGCATCTCCTCAAAAGGGTGGCCGGTCAAAGGATTGGTCTCATGAGCTTTGAAACAACTCGGACAGCCATGGAAAAAACATCCCAGAAACTCCCATACATATTTCACACCTTGGATCTCTGCAAAACCATCTACAAAGTATTTTCCTAGTTGTTTTTCCCCCTCATTTAAAGCATGTTGAATGAAGATGTTTTCGGTGCTAGCCACCCATGCAACCACTGAATGCCTGCGTTCGAATACGTTTTGAACTGGCGTGTGTAGTTATGGGATCGGGGATGGCCAAACTTTTAGGAGGAAGGAAGTTGGTCACAAACACTTTCATGCATGCAGATGCTATAGTCGCACGGCTAAAAGGGTCAACCGCTGTTTCATCAATATACTGTTTTCTGAACAGCTTGCATCCCTCTGCGAGAATCTCAACATCGTTTTCACAATAGAGGCGGGCCTCTCTCATGAAATCAAATGTACCGCGGCGCGCCGTCTCGTACCAGGTGTTAAAGTCTTTCAGCTGTACCGTAGTCATGCGTTCTGTACCGTACATTTTTGGCTCCGGGTAGGGACCTGTGTAGGTCAAATGGGCAGGTGAGCTAAAATTATGGGGAAAATAGCCTTTAATTCTGTCATCAAAACCGAGAGCTTTTGGCATATCGGCTAAACGCATGGAAAGAAAGGACAGTGAGTCAATGTATTTTTGATTAAAATCAGGATCTGTCATACAGATGACTTTTGAACCTTGCAAAATCAAAGAGGGTTTTAATGCTTGTTCAAGCATGGCGTTGAGGAGTAGGTAGGAGTCAAAACCTCGAGCATTGTGAGCAATAAACACAGCATTTTTGTACAGAGGGCGTCTGAAATGCATGAGAAACTCGTTGGCACAATTTCTGCCTTGAGAGCTCCATGTTTTGCCATCTAACGTTTTTGTACACACCAAAAAGGGTATGTGAACGCCATTTTCATTGACGTATGTTTCAAAATCATAAAACACCAATTTTTCTGTGTGTTTTGTTTCAGGTGGTAGTGTCTGGATGTAGCATTGGTGCATCTCCTCTTATCTGTAACGTCAGAGGTCAAATTCTCACCACAGATTTTACACTTCACCGCAGGACATGTGTGTGGTTTACCTTCACCACTCATCGCTGAGTAGTAAAGCTGTGCACATTTGTTACATTTTTTGTACAACGAGCACGTGCTGGCTAATTTTTTGGCTCTGGGCCTCTCTGTAGGCTCTTTGTGCTTTGTCAGACAGAATTCTGAACGACATGTCCTGTTACACTCTTTACACACAATAGGCTGGAACCCCTTCTGATTACAGGTAGGGTCAAAGCAAACGGAACAATGAGCAGGGCATCGGTGACTCAGCACACAGTTGTACCCTGTGTAACAGTACTCACACAGATATGGGGAACCCAGAAAGGCCTTTAGATTTTTTATACCATAGTAGTGGTTCTGAAAGAGAAACAAAAATAGGGTTTTACTCTGTCTTGGGCTTTTGGTCATGAATTTACAGAGGGACCTATCGTCGTCTCCTCTATAAAACACTACAATTTTGCAGTCCAAAGCACGTTCAAATCGCGTGATGTCGCTTAAGGCTACAGGTGTCTGTCATCCATTCCCACTTTGTTTTGAATCTCTCTGCCGCATTCAAGAGCCTGTCTATCGTTGAGGAGGGGATGTAGAAGATGAGCCAGACAGACGGCGAAACACAACTGATTCCCCTCGTTTTCTACAATGTACAGAAAGCGTTGTTTTTTTTTTAAGATTTCGCATTGTAACATTTTATCCACCATTGCTCTTTTACCCGCGCCTGTAGGGCAGGTGATCACTTGGAGAACCAGTTCTAGATCACCATCTGTCATAATGGTCCAATTGGATTGTACTATGCGAAGCAAAAGTCTTTCAAAACCCGCTAAATTGTCAACATCACCATCCTGTAAGATAACTGATACATTATTACGGAGATTTTCACCTCTTAGCTCCAACTGCACCACATCTTGGGGTCTCCTGTGTGACAAGGCTTGTTGTAAAATCGCATCTACCTGCTCCAGTGTACCATTGTAAAACTGAGCATAATCCACTACACCCTCTGCATTGGTTGGAGAAGGAAAGCGCAACACCTGACGTATTTCATAATTACAGAATCTATGTCGTGATATGACTCTTGCTTGAGGTGCCACAGGGTCATTATTTTGAGACACGCTGCCCCCTTGCTGTTGCAAGGGAGGAGTGTTGGCTACCTGCTCCATGAGGGGGGAGTTAATGGGGGTCTGATAGGTCGAGGATGTAGAGGGGTTTAAGGCAGGGATTGCATTATTTTCAAGCTCGGAGAGAGCATTTTGTATTTGAATCAAGAGGTCTGGAGACACAGATGAGTTTAAGACAGGAATATGCTCGGGTTCGGGTAAAGAGGGGATGTTGTTTTGGTGAAAGGGTTCATTCATTTGGTTGATTTCATCTAATAAAGCAGTTGGTATTTCATTTTCTAAGCGTTCCAGATCAACGAGAGCTTGATTTATAGCGTGTAACGGATCTAAGAACTGACTGGAGGAGGTCTCGTTTTCAATTACACTATTTTCAGTTATACCATTTTGAAAGTTTGACTCATTCTGATAATGTTGATCTACCTCGTCTGATAAACTCTGCCTAAGCCCTAACGGTTTGTTTTCATCCATTATCATAAAATCAAAACACACTTAAACCTTAAAACAGACACTATAAAAACACGATAAACACGTTTATCTAACTATTGCAAGTGAAAATCAACAATAAAAACAATTACCCAATGAAACAAACAAAAAAAATCATTTAAAACAAATTCAGATAAATCACCTTACTAATTATGATCACTGTAGACAGCCAGCATTTCACCCATTAGTCGGAAAGCATTACTCATTAGAACTAGTTGTTCATGGGCAGTCCGACAGCAATTCTGACAGCCTCTCACGGATCGTCGGGGTCTGTTTGCTGGAGGGACACAAAAACAAAGACACTTTAACCTCTTTTGTGTATTTTAATACAGAAAGTCAGGCATCACCCCTACAAATCACTACATTAATACTTTATAGCAAACAAGCAAACTAGTTTTTTAAACTAAATACCCTGAATGTCAGACATCAGTACCAAAACACTGTAGAAGTGCAAAACAAACGAACAAACACCACAGTAATAGCCTACTTTATGAAAAAGAAGCAAAATAGCTTTTAGAGTCAGGTTAACTCATAAGACTACTTTCTGCATAGAACATTTGACATGCTGTTGTATTTGAGAAAATAGTGTGGAATACTTTTAACTCATTAATTGTATAGCCTAATAATCAGCAACATGGTATCATGGGAAACTGTGTATATAGGCTATACTTTTTTTATGACTGCATATTTCTAGGTTAATGGTTTTAGAGCGTTATAACAATTTACTTACTGCTGCTCCTACTACTGCTACTGCTGGTTGAAATGAGCCTTCTACGGTGTTCCCTTTTCCGAGGTCCGTTGTTCGGTATAGGCTCAGTCTGATTCAGCGGCGTACACGGTTCTGCTGGGTCCGGATGAATGATTTCCTCCGCTGTCAGTCCCCGCGCTTCTACCGGTGATCCGTTACGTGACCTCCCATCTGCGGCCTGACTGGAGCGCTCTACATCATCGACGGGTGATTCCGGCTCATCGTGTTCCGGGGACCCCGGTGTTATGTACGCTTGCGGTACCGAAGCCGAGGGCTGATCCGATTCCGGAACCGGACCGTTCTCCTCGTAAAAGGTAGGGGAGAGACCCTGCATAAAGTACCGTTCACAATCGCTCGCACCATCTGCGGGTGTAATGAAAGAAAAGAGTACTGTTACCACATCTGCGTAAAAGTTTGTAAATAAATAAATAAAACCTACACACTGATTAAAAGTTAAGGTAACCTTACTTACCGACTTCTCCTGTGAGATCTACAACCTGCGCTGATGGAATGCCATTCTCCCTTGTAGAACCTATTTCCTCGCCTGAGTACAAATCTGTAAAAACAATATACAAAATACACATCAGGATAGTACACTTTAAAATTTAGAACATTTCTATTTCACTCTAGTACATAGAAGGCCCTCTTACCTTCAAGTTGATATTCGGTTGAATGAAGCCCATTGTCGATCAAGTCAAAAACTGTTAATTGAAAACACGCAGGAATGAAAATACAAAGTGTCGATTTTTGCTATTTCTTAAGTTACGGAGGAAAGACTGAATGCGTACCGTGTTCTCTTTGAAGGGTCATCGCTCTGGTTTCAGGTCACTAGTGTGAAGACCTCAGGATTTCTGGTAGGGTACTTATAGAAGTAAGAAAAAAAAAAAAAACCAAACACACGAGTGCTGCTCTGCATGTGGGGTTGGGGCCCTTACTTCTGGTACAACCAGATTATTATTTAAACTCTTGTCTCCGGCTGATAAAAATAGCTTCCTGTTTCGAAAACGAACTCACGAACTCTGTCTGCTAAAACCAGACCGTTTTTTTAACATCCGGAGTCTGGGTTATAGATAACCAAAGTTAATAACTGGTCTACAAGATTACCTGAGGATGGCAGCTAAACACACAACACGCCTCATTGAGAAAACAGAGGGAGGTGTTCCAGGACTCCCCAACACGACTCGTTGAGAAAACAGAGGGAGGTGCGGGGGGTGGAGCACATTCCTCAATTCACCCCACAGCCTATGCTACACCAGAATGAGAGAGGACAGAGAAGAGGAGACACAGACTCTAGAAGGATTAAAGTTTTAAGACTCACAAGTTTAAGACTAGGCTACAGCTTTGGAGTGATAATGATGGCAAGTTTGTAAGACAAAGCAATAGCAAAGTAATTTGGAACACTCTCTTATTTTGCTGCATGCTGTTGAAGGTAATTTGTAATGCTGTTTAATTTTTACTCACCGTTATACCATTTTACTGCTTTACTGTCATTATTTCAATTTATTCTTCACTTGTTTACTGATGGTAAGTTTGTCACACAAAGCTTTAGCAAAGATTTTGAAGGTAATTAAAAAATGCTGTTTAATTTTAACTCACTGTTATACTATTTTACTGTAATTATTTCATCTTATTCTTTAGTTCTTTAATGATGGTAAGTTTGTCACACAAAGCTTTAGCAAAGATTTTACAAAGTTTAATTTTGGAACTCACTCTTATTTTGCTGCATGCTGTTGAAGGTAATTTATAATGCTGCTTTTTTACTCACCGTTATACCATTTTACTGCTTTGCTGTCATTATTTCAATTTATTCTTCACTTGTTTAATAATAAAGACTGACTTGATTCCAAAGAAACCTCCTACTGATCCTTTGCTGGCCCCGGAGATTCCTCCTTTTACTTATAACTCACTGCTATACTTTTTTAATGATAAATTTATTGTCACAAACACCTCCTAGTTAATTCATTCAAGTTGTATTACTTAATAAAGTCTTTAAATCAATGAAAAACACACAATGGAAGGATGTACGCAACCCTCTTATCAGTTACATACAGACATATTTCCGGTTGGGGCGGGACAGGATGCACCCCCTCTTATCAGTTACATACAGACATATTTCCGGCTGGGGTGGGACAGGATGCACCCCCTCTTATCAGTTACATACAGACATATTTCCGGTTGGGGCGGGACAGGATGCACCCCCTCTTATCAGTTACATACAGACATCCGGTGTGGGGGTGGTGGGACCGGAAATAGCTGTCAAAAATGAGTTTGATGGAATGTCATTTATAATTCTCTCTAATGTCACAGTAATATAAATACTGTATAAAGACAACAAGAAACCAATATGTCTCAGATGAGTTTATCCCCCTCTTTCTCTAAAAAAGGTAGTGGTGACTCTGATGATGAAGTGGATTTGAAGACTTTTGAAGAAAGTAAGGTTCTTCTTTTCTCCCTTAAGATGTGTTTCATTGTGCAAGTTACCATAGAGTCAGTCATTTCAGTCTTGACCATTTCTGAAACTACTAGATTAAAAACCAGAATCTAATTCTATGATTTTTTCTTTTAGAAAAACCTGATGGAATGAGAAACCTAATGAGTGTGATCCTATCTGGTCTGGCTTTTTTCCTCACTATAGTCGTCATTCTGGCTGTTAAAATCAGGAAACTTCAGACAGGTACAGTAGATTTATTTTGTTGCAAATGGTGTCAACATGATGCACAAATCCAAAGCAAAGCATTTGGACACTAATAATGAACTAATCAGACATTTGTCTTCTGTTGTTTAGCTGTGAATGAAGAACCACATCCAGAAGGCAACAAGGTGATCTTTGAGTTATGGTCTTAGTTTAAATGATTCCTCTGTGGTACAACCCACAACTGCACTAGTTTACATATTTTTGGCAAACTCAGCTACAGTGTGTGTGTTACAGTATGTGACTCTAAATCCTTGATATTCTTTCAGAATCTGGACTCTGCTGCGCTGAGGTTCCTTCCAAAGACAATCAGAAGCAGGAGGCCTGCATCAGAGAGAGAAGTGGAAACTCATGTTATTTATGCTGCCAGCAGATAGACTCAGGAAGCAACTGGAACTGCAACTCATCAACTCATATTATGTAGTACTGTAAACAGACGATTATTATGTAATTTTCTTATTTTGTATTTCTCATGCAGATTACCATCTGACCAACACTTGTATATTTATTAAATGAATATAAAGTAATGAAACGGTCAGCTTCAGTTTTTACTGAATTTATTTTGACTGTTCCAAATACAGTACTGCTTTTCAAATTACTGTACTGTATAATTCAAATACACTGTACAATAGTAAAGTACTGTATATAAAATATAGCTTACTGTAGTTTAAAATATAATTAGGTTATAGCCTAAAACAGTATTGTGCTGTTTACAAATATAGTAACGTCAGTAGTGCAAATAGGCACTGCATTTGTAAATGTGTAATAGGCCTCAATATAAACTGCAGGCTATCAGCGCTGCTCAGAGTTAAACATATTCATACAATATTATGACTTTTTTCCATATGTTGTCATGTATGAAAAGCCCCAAAATGAACACTGTAAGCAGACTATTTGATTATTATAAGCAAATGATTTAAACAGCATGTGTGTAGGAATGATTCTGTCCCAAGCTTTTTGATCCATATCAGCAGCTGATCACCGTAACTGTGATCACTATTAGCAGTTTCCCCTGCCTGGATCTGTTGTCTTGTGTTTTTTGTGTGGGTGGTATATATTTGATGAGGAGGAGCCACAGAGGACACCAATAACTGTCAAACTTACAGGAAGACTCAGATGGTCTGAGAGGTGGCGGGAGGAGGGGGTGAGGTACACATCTGACACGTCTGAGCACAACTGACTTTAAAGCTGCAAGGTCTTTAAAGTCAAAGCTTTGTGGCAAAGTATAAAAAGAAACAGTGAAAACTGAACTATTTACATTTGTCTAAATAATATCAGGCTCTTTAATTGTACAGAATGTTGAAAATAGTAAAGCAAATAATTAACTAGCCCCCTGAATAAATAAATCCCCCTGAAAGACTTCAGCCTTGAGCACAAATATCAAACAACTTCCTGTTGTCAAAGACTATGAGAAATGCTACCTTTATAAATTGCATACCAATCTCTTTCAACAATGAACCACCGGGTCTCCTGATACAGAAAATAATGCAGGCTATAGAGGTGTAAAATTCCAAAAAATGAGAATCACAATCTTCTTTTGAATATCAAGTTACTGTTAGCCTTTCAGTTCAATCCAGTGTGACCAGAACTGCTGAATATTCACACTATGTTTTGTCTCAGACTGATGTCATGTTGTGGTCATGTTGTGGGGGTGCACAAAAATGAACATGTGATCTCAAGTGAAGGTAGAGATTCACATGTTGTTCCAGCTGAAGAGATGTACAGCTGCAACAATAAACAGATTCCATAATTCTTCCTTTCCATCTCTAGTGTCCAACACCTGGAACACGTAGGGCCCATTTTCCCCCTCTTCAAAGCCATGTTGTACACTGTTTATGTTGATTTGGAGTAACCTCTAGGCCACTTTGTTTTGGACAGTGTGTAGCATTGGACTTTCATTAGTTACCCTAAGACAGGAGAAAAACAAATGTGTCTGCAGAAAAATGGGTCGTCCCTTTTTATTTGTCAACAGGTGCATGCAACAACAACTGCATAGATTTTTGCACCAGAACAATTTCCAGTATTATAATTGTAGGGTACCAGGTAGGAGGAATTCAAATTTTGTAATAAGAGATTTATTATCTTAAATATTTTAATTTCTGTCATGGATGTGGGAATTTGTGAATTACGGCTGTTTGAACGGAGCCATATCTTTCGGTCAGACGGGACTGACACATCGTTGGCTGGAAGTAGGTGTCCGTTTATCATCCAGTCCGTTGTTACATTCCTTGTGCTGTGAGTCAAATCACATCTGAGCTTTTTATCACATGTGAAAACACTGATGCGCCGTCTCGTTCCTTCTTTCTCTCCTTGCAGTTAATGGTAGATTGCTACATGTAAAAAGTCATTTCATCCAAAGCGCTTTACACGTCGGTTCAATCACCCAATTTGGGGTTCAGTGTCTTGCCCTTGTGATCAGTGGGTGACCCACTCTACCTCCTGAGACACATCCGCCCCAGTTCTCATGTATTAGTTCAGTGTTGTTGCTGTTGCTCTAAAACTGTTGTAAATAGTTATTAATAACCATGAGATAAAAATGATCTGATATGTTCAAATGAAAGCACCAACCATGAATGTCATCCAGCATTAGTATGATGTCATTATATAGACTGAGTTTTATCAGCACCCCCAGCTCTGACTGACTTCCAGCCTCTCTAGTTTTGATTCTCACATGCTTCTTTCTCTCTTGCTCTCAGTCTCTGTTGTACTTATAATGTTTGTCCTTGATCATAATGAAAAAATGAAAAACACACAGGACATGTGACAGTGTCCTCCTCCATAATGAGTTATGGAGGAGGAGACTGTCACGTTATAGGGAGAGTCTGCAAGCAGGGAGGAGTGAATGATGTACACATCACTTGTTTGACAAGAAGAGAAAGCACAGTGTTGTGTGAGCACAACTGACCTGAAGATCATGAGAAATCTGAAGTCAAGCCTTTCTTTAATAAAATCTATAAGGAAGCAGAGATAGTCATGTGACTAAATATGTTTAACCTCTACATTTGTATTAAGGTTTAGGACAAAACATTCACTAATCTAGATTTGCTTGGCTATACTGATCTTTATTATTTTTTCTCTCTATTGTGTGCTGACACAGTGAATGTGTATATGAACAATACAACACCGTAGCTTTCTGCCCTGGCTGTACTTGTAAGCAACATGACTTGTGCACCCCCCCTCTGCGTAATTT